GGTAATAATGTTTTTAACTGATTTTCAGATGTACCCTCCACTTGATTTTATTATACGTAAAGGTGGCGACACACTGCACTTACGGTATCCGAGAATATTGTTCGTGGTTGTTTGCGATCGCGACACTTATACATTTTTATAACCGGATTCCACGTTGGTGAGAGTTTATATCCACTTTCCCGGTTGAAATTGTTGTGTTTTTGATTTCAACCGCTTCACGAACAATCCTTGGATAGTAATGTCGTTCAGTGGAAAGGACATGAGGTGTATGTAACTCGATCCAGTGGTTTGATCCAGATGATAATAAGTGCTCTGCAATCGCGGACTTCTCCACTTGACGATTTTTGACCGCTGCTATGTGTTCTCTTACACGTTCGGCGATAGTCCGCTTCGTTTGTCCGATATATGAACTACCGCAGCTGCAGTCAATTTTATAAACGCCAGGTTTTTGGTAAGGAATACTATCCTTTGGTGATCGCAATTGGTGTGACATTTTTGATAAAGGAGTAAAAATGGTGTCTATAGAAAAATTTTTTCTCAAAATGGAACCAATTTTGTCCGTTACCCCTTAACATAGCCTAAAAATGCCCGTTGCCTGGGAACCTTAGGTAGTCTTTCCTTACACCTTCGGATAGGGTATGACCTCCTTGCGCTGTATCCATTTTTCCTTAGCACGTCCTGTACATGGGACAACTCATCTGCTAAGAAGTCAGTATTACATAATGCGTTAGCCCTGTTAATAAGAGTTGTCTCCACAGAACGTAGGTGTTGAGGATGATGATGAGATGAAGCGTGGAGGTACTTGTCTGTGTGTGTTGGTTTCCTGTAGACAGTGTGTTTCAGGGACCCATCAGCTTGCGCCATGACTTTAACGTCCAGAAAGGGTAAGGTTTTGTCACTCTCTAACTCATAGGTGAACTTGAGATTCGTCGTAAGATTCGTAGTCGTAATCGCTAGTATTTATCACGACGGTCTAACTCACTGAACGACATTACTATCCAAGGATTGTTCGTGAAGCGGTTGAAATCAAAAAACACAACAATTTCAACCGGTTATAAAAATGTATAAGTGTCGCGATCGCAAACAACCACGAACAATATTCTCGGATACCGTAAGTGCAGTGTGTCGCCACCTTTACGTATAATAAAATCAAGTGGAGGGTACATCTGAAAATCAGTTAAAAACATTATTACCGGATTACCCTCAACTAAAATCAGAAGACGACACCCGCCAGTTCTCCAGTCTCCTCGTGACCACGGCTGCTGTAACGTAGCCGAAACGTCGAGGTAAATTAATTGTTTTAAAAAATGCACGAACAAGACCCGATTGCATATAATTATAATGGCCATATTATGTATTGCGATAACATTATCATAATTGTAGTAAAAAATCGACGTACTGAAGGCTTAGTGTAAGTTTTTTGACGTTCACCGTCGATCGTAACCGATTTTAGTGTGGAATGTTGTACAGCGCCCCTAGCGGTAACTACCATGAACTACAAGTCTCCATACAAATTCTTAACTCGCTCACTAATGAACGCGTTAACATAAAAGTTATACCTTACATCGAGGAAATGCATTAGGCAATACCCCTGCCGCCCGGCAAGCGACAGGGGGTGTGTGGGACTCTCCTACGTGAGCAACGTAAAAGTTATACCTACCAACCAAATATATTTAACACTATTTCAAAATACAGATAAGTTAGCTTTATTAAAATACTATAGATAAACAAATGAAATATATTAACATTTTGGTAACGTGAACGTTTTCCCTGTTTATTGACGAGATGTTACAAAATATAAAATTTATCGATATAACGTACTTACGTCCCTACGGCCGCCCGGGGCGTGACGCGTACACCGCGTACGTTGCAATTTCACCTGCGCCGCACGCCGCACGATTATTAAATCCCTTCGCCCCGCCCTAATATCCCCCATTATGGGTAATATAATGAAAAACATGCAACCATATTATAGTCTTGTGACAATCCCTCAACAAATAACTCTTGGAATACTTTATTCAATATTTTTATAGAGTATTGTGTAAATTACACATTTATCTTACTGACGTTTTGAATCACAGGACTTGTAATGAATGACATAAGTAGTCTTTAATTGTACTTCTGTCTGTAACCTATACAGGCTGGATAAATTTCTTTGGCTTGGTCTTCTTATCAGCCAATACACGTCCCAAAGGGGTGGTTGATTAAAAATGATCGATTAAAAACTTTTAATAGTTTTTTACTTTGTCTTGGCTTTTGACTATAAATGCAAAATAACTGTTATGTTATTTCGTTTTTGTATGTATATACAACTTATGTTGTAAGTAAATAATACAATGTTTTAAAAATGGTTCGTATTTAAAAAAAGTCTAGTTAACCATAACAACAGAATTACTAAATGTGTTCCAAATTGCACTAGATCATGTGTTATATATATGTTTTTTGGTGCACCACCACGTACATTTTACATATTGACACGGTATCTTTTACACGTTGACTTTTTTTCACTCAATTTTAAGCCCTAAGGCGTTAGAGTTCAAAATCAACTGAAGAAGGCTTAAGATCACCTAGTACACAGGCAATGAGGAAGTATTTAAAAAAAAAAGTCGTTCCCGAAATGAAACTAGATGTCACTACAGTACTTTCTTGATTTCTCCATGACAACGCTTCCGGTTTTCTTTCATTTGTAAAAGTAAATTAGTTTTCAAAACTCAATAAACAACTCATATTCTATTTGTACATTTTCGTATTTTTATTGATACCGATCATAACCGATCGACGTCGATATTAATGAGGAGGCCTATGGCCAGCAGTGGGCGTCGTACATCTGATATCATTACACCAAATGACAATGATGATTCGTGTTGATATTTTAATTATATTTTTTAATAGTTGTAAGTTCGCAGCGTTAAGAACATTGTCACTGACTCCAGACATAAGTATTTAAATAAAAACCAGTTGAAACTGTATTTTATTTAAAATAAAAACCTATCCAATATTGATCGTCTACATTAATTCTACTTTGTTTTACTAAATGCATAATTAAAATGATCATCATGATTATATAGCATATTATGAAGCGGTTTGTGTTGGGCACTTGTACATTGTCACTTTTATGGCGGGCGGCACATCTTTGAGTTGGGAATGCGGTTATAAGAGCAAGCGATAGCGTTCACCAATCTATAAAATTTAGCTAAGTATTATTTAATTAATATCTCTATTTATTTGGCTATAATGTATAATATTTAAGATGTATAAATTACTAGTATTCTGATCGCGGCTTCGCGAGGAATTTCCGTTATCACCTTTCACCCTTCTATTTCAACTAATGCAAGTTTTTTTTGTGATTTATTTATATACCAAAGTTCATTAAATTAGGTTTAGTAGATTAGACGTGAAAACGTTACAAACACACAGACAATGTTACTATTTCATTTACAATATTAATATACTTAGGTAATGAAATATACATTTGCTGAACGCCCCCGCTTTTATTATGTCCCATACGCTCAAAGCCGGTATAACAAAGATGCAATATTTTGATTCAGAACACGCACAACATAAGCGTCCGCCCATTGAGATCTCTCTATTGCCGATATTTATTCATAGCCGGCGAATATGATTCATAGCTCAGGCTTATGGTTCTTTATGGAGCTTTATGACTGAATTATTGGATCTCTTTTCTTTATTTTCCTTTTGAACATATGCAAATAAATTCGTATATGTCAGTGCAGCTTTGCAACAAACTAAAGCTTGATGTTGCAATGGTTATTATCATAAATGTGCATAACAACAAATAAATAAAACAATTAGGTGTGATAAAAAATCTTATAATAAATTCTCTAGGATTCATCACAGACTTGACGGTGACTTGAAAACCGGGAAGTTTGTTACTTTAGGTACAGTTCAAATATCACAAACAAAATCACTATAAGTATAACCATTCTGAAATAATAAATTATAGCTTTAGTCATAAGTACATAAATATAAGACATAACATTATAATAGGCTTTATGCCAGTAAAGCCGTATTCAGACTGCGAAAATTTAGTCAATCAAAAAAAGAGCGTGACTACCGAAGGTGACTACCAGCCTTTGCCCGATATTGTTGATATGTCAACAGTGCGTCAGTTAATACAAAATTGCCAATTTTTTTCATGTTATTTTAAAACTTAATACATAGGGCAGTGATGATAGAATTCAATACGTACTGCTGAGTGTACAGTCAACAGCATGTCGTGCCATACAAAATTGTCACATTTATACACTTGATTTTAAATCTTAAATTGAGAGTTGAGTACTTCTTCTTCTTTTAATAATGGCTTATCTGCGCATTTCACACAATTCTGCCAATGTCAAGTGAATAAATTAATTTCTATATGTAAAATGAAAACGAAACGAAAATCACTTGCGAAAATTTGACATATTGTGACAATCTGATTGACATGCACATTAAAGCGAGCGGAATTACGATTGCCGCGTACCGTGTGTACAATATATCTACATATTTTTCACCTTCGGGAAGCTTCATTATAAATCATACTCGGGTGACATCGCTCACTAAATAGTACAGTGTCACAACTCAAAAACTATTATTTCGAGAAAACGCCACAACATTGTGGTGGCATCCCATAGATAATTTAAAGAAAAAATAAAAATAATACAAACGATTTAATAATAATAATAATAATAATATTCTTTATTGCACGCTAGACAGGACATAATACAGAGAAGATAGAAAAAAGAGAAAGATTACAAATAAATTTAACTGTTATGCTAAAAAATTTGGTTTTTATAATTATAAATATATTAAATTTTCATAGTCCACAGCATTTTGCGATGGCATGTCTGTCACTGGCATGATGGCATGACCGGCGCGGAAATTTTATCCATTACATTCACGCGTTTTTCTTTCTAATGAGGACTGTGTCATATTGTGTGACACGGGCATCTGAATGCGGCCTTAAAGTAATAAGCGACTAAACTGTTTTTTTTCTTTTTCATAAATCAACGTTATTTTTATAAATATATTTATGTGGTAGTTTCGTAGTATATTTTAACATTCAAAAAAGTAGGCGCTGTTAAAAATATTTTTATTGAAAAGTAAAGATACTTGGCTGCCAAAATCAATATTAGTTAGAGCATACTATTGTAAAATGGCGGTTGTTATACCGAATAAACAAATATACACATTGTATTAATTCGTCTCGGACATCTGAAACGGTTGAATTTTCTAAGTATTTTTATAACATAAATAACTGATAACTTCAAGATAAACACCCGGTTTCTAAATTGAGAATTTAAAGTTAAGGACGTCTTAGACCGTACTTAAGCCATCTGAAAAGTTTACTGATTTTAATTTTACTGGTTTTCATTACTGATTTTAATTCTATTAATGATCAGTTGACAGAAGTAAAACTGAATCGTAAAGTTAGTTAAGTTGTTGAGATATTGTACTATTCTCAATTCAGAATCCGGCCGATAAACACTTAAATAATTACAAAGTACCTTAATCTTCGATTACTGTTTTCCAATATAAAAATGATTTCGCTTCACAAATAATAAATTAACAAGGAATAAACTTTATGCTTAAAGCAATAAGGTTTATTATCGCTATGAAGGCATCAGTCCCTGGCTCCTCTTCCACTGGGCGCCTTGCCTGCGGTTGTGGTTGGCTCGTGAGGACTTGTGTTTCTCCTTGCGGTCGCGGTTCACCAACACCTCTTTCTCTTGACCTTGACCTTTGGGCTTGCCCGTTACATCCGCGTTTCTGTTATATCAATATTATGTAATAATTAAGTAGACCTACCCTGCCTAACTACTTTGACTTGGATTTGCCTAATTACGTTGGATTGAATTTTGTTTAAAAACTTTAAAGAGGCTCGTTCAGAGCGGACAATAAAGTTACGATTTTGATTTCCAGTTCCTAATTAAGTCGAATTTATTCCAACTTATTTCGACTCTCGACCTTGGAACGTATCCTCTACAATTATACACTAAATGCCAAACCCGCGCTTTATGTATTTGTGGCATATTTAGGGTTGTACGCGTTACAAACTCGAGAAACGCATTGTTTACATCCAAATGTCACTTTTTCGCTATTAAAGTGACATTAGACAAAACGTTCTCGAGTTCGTCATGCAAAGCGTGCTGGTGGTGTTACGTGAGTATCGCGCTTATATGTCAGTCCGTGTGAGAAACCCCCCCTCCGAAGAATTCGAAGGGGGGTCGGATCCGGCTGGCTCTTTGCAGGGTCCCGGATCCGAACTTAATTGTGGTTGAGTCCGGGACTTATCAGGCATCACAGTCCCCGGTATTAGTAAAAGAACTACCTGCGCGAGTGGGGGGCGGGGGCGGGGACGTGCCGCGCCTGCCTGCGCGCGCGCATCTCCTCAGGGTTCACGCAGAAGTCCATCTTGTTCCGACTGCTAGTGGGCCTCTCCTCCTCCACCTGCTCCTGCTCGTCTTCAGACTCGTCCTCCTACGTTCATAGAAGAGGTATCTTATCAACTTCTTTGAAAGACTAATGTATATGCCTATCTTGGTGCACATTTCACTTTCTACTAGTAGTTGACTTTCATCAAGAGTGACGGAGCTTTGCTTGGTTTTTTTTTGTAAAACGAAACTTAGCTAAATTGATTTATCGCTCTCGAAAACCCCGTGTACTAAACTTTATGAAAATCGATGATATTGTTCATAAAGAATATACAAAAAATCTTGGGACGCAATTTATGGATTTATTTTTTGGATTTTACAACGATTAAACCATTGTGCGAATACCGATTGATCCCAAAGTAATAACAGATTTATATCCTAAAGCAGTGTCGTCGCCTATTCTCTTCTTCGTTTTGCTAGGCAAGCGACAGCGTGTGGTCCACGTAAATTTGGGTGCGTTTTCGGAAAACGGGACATTTTTGCATCCCAGAATAATCATCGTAGCACGCACCTCCCCCCTCCTCCCCGCGGGGCGCAGCACGCGCGGGGTGACGAGGGCGCGCCGGGGCTCGTCCGCGACCGCGTCCGCCACCGGAGTGACCCCGTCCGAGTCGTACGTGTCGTCGTACTCGTCGGAATACATCGCCTCCTCGTCGCACACTAGGCTATTTATGAGAAAGAGAACAATTTATTTAGTAATATAATACATAGAATGAAACAAAAACCGTATATATATATATATATAACCGTTTGTCGTACGAGAGTCCCCTTAAATATTTATTTTATTCCGGCTTTTAGTATTTCTTGAAGTGGCAACAGAAATATATCATTCGTGAAAAAATTCAACTGTCTAACTTTCACGGTTCATAAGATACAGCCTGGTGACAGATAGATAGCTGTCTTAGTTATAAGGTTCCCCTTTTACCCTTTGGGTAGGGAACCCTAAAAAGGATACCGCTAAATATAACTTCAAATTATAACACAGAAAGCAGCCACTCAACATGTGTCTGATGTCTCAGACGGTCCAATGCTAGTATTCGTAACAAAACAAAAATGAGAAAACCTAAAAAATTTATACTTTAAAACTATGAAGATTTCCACCGTAGCCACACACCGATTACAAAGTGTCGTTATATCTGAGATTCCGGGTTCGATCCCGGTCGGGTCAGTATATAGAATGTTCTTTTCTATATTGTCTTTGGTCTGGATGTTGTGGTAGCCTCGTTATTTTAGATAAAACTACAATATTTTTAAGTGGAAGTTTCACGTTGTTCCACGTTAGCGAGCGAGCCGTGATTCTTTGCTATTGGTCGACGCGTGCGCACCATTTCAATATCCGAGGCATCTCAACACGAATCGACTGTCGCGCAGTTTTGTTAACTTAAAACTTTATTATTAAATGGATCAAAGTCTATTTTTCAAGGGCACTTATTCTGCTATCGAGTTTAACTTGCTCTCATCAGCGCAGATGAATTTTACCGAAGCTAAAATGGTATTAGAAGAAATAACCCTTGATATAAATAAATAGGATACTCACTTGTATTTGCTGTAAATATCGGTGAGCTTCTTGACAGTAGTTTTGTCGTCGAGCATGTCCTTTAGGTCCTTGTACTGCGGACGACGTTTGCCGACGTGCACTCGCGTCAGGTCGACGTCGTCGCGCGTCATTATGTCGAACTCGTCGCCGTCGAACACGTTCAATCGTTGGATGCCGGTCTCTAAGAATTTCTTGTCGACTGGATCCTCTGGTATTATCGGCATATTTTGATCTAGCCCTGCATCAAAGTATAATTTATCAAGTAATTTTTAAAATTAATTTTACAGGCGGACAATAAGCGGTCTACAAGTTTTGATAATTGATGAGATCTAATAAATCACTAAGGTTGAATGTTCGAACAGAATTTATATGCGTAATTATGATGTATATGTATAAATATCAATATTACTGCAAGGGAAAATGGCTCCTGTTGTTTCATAACATTCAAATTAACATAAACCGTAGGGTGGAAATCCATATTTTTCTGTAGTCAACTATACAGTATCAACAGTAAGTTCGGTAAAAAAAAACTAATAAATGTCTCCAATCAATTTTCAATGTTAGGTCTTTGAGTTCAAAACCAATTGCTACAATTTCATATTTTTTAGTAAATTTATATGTGTAAACGGATTAACTATTGGTTCGATTATATCGCACATGCCTTTCACAGTAATAATATAATTGCTGTATAGTATTACTGTGTACACATACTTTAGCTTATTAACTAGATAATAAACTAACAGGCTTCTATTAACTATTTACTTATATATGAAATGTGCTTATGACATTAGATTTTTTTTATTTACCAGGTATTTCTGTTTTACTGGTGTCAAAATTCTTACAAATCTTAAAACCACTTACTCACCCTTCAAAGGCTCTGCCAGATTATCTTCTAAGACACTATTTATAACTCTGGCCGCATTAAATCCGTAATGTTGCAAACATTTCAAAATGAATCCATCCCCTAAATGTGGCAATATATCTTTTACTTCACTTATCAACGACTCTTCTTTCACGCTATCCGGAATTTCATTGTCTGTGGACGGCCCCGGATTGTTTACGGTATCATTGTCTATTGTTTCAAGATGGCCGTTGGTAATCGAATCACTGTTATGATTAATTATTCCATTTTCCAGAGGAGTCTCGTCGAGATTTGAATATATCGCTTGTAATATGAAATCTGTTTTAACTGAGTCACTGTTACCGTTGTTAAGGACCAATATGGAATCAATAGAATTTGTATACTTTATAACGTGAATTCGGATACACGAGTGAATTCAATTTCAGGTTTGGATGTTTGCAGAATCATTATATTTTTGGTTATGTTATGTTCATGTAAAGAATATACTTATGAGTAAAGGCTATTATAAAGTTGATGATTATTTTAAGGATCGCAATGCATGGAATTAATAGCCTTCGCTTTGTTCTATAAAGACTAATTATATGTTCAACCTATGTCCTACAGAGTTTGGAAGTTTATTTATTATTGTGATTTGATATGAAATGACATGATTTATGTAAATGTCGTTACTTATGATAAAGAGCTGGTGAGTTTCTTTCGCTTGTTCTTCTTGTCAGCTAAAAAACGTCCTGAACAAGTGGTAGGGGAAAAATTTTTTTTTGGACGATTCAAAAGTGCTTGTAATAGCCTACTTGAATAAAGATATTTTCATTTCATTAATTTTGCATTCACAATTCCATAGTGAAAATTATTCTTAATACAAAATGCTTAAAAAATCCACTTGGTCCCTGGCACCCTGAGATGGGAATCGAACCCACGACCTTTCGCAATCCGTGTGACTGCTCTAACCGCTGAGCTACCCAGGACCTAACAGGACTGACGAATCTTTCAAGCACTTGTTACTTTTCGCTACTACAGAGCGTATTCTCTGCAGGTATTTTCACCTACGAAATAATCCTTTTTTATAAGTCTTCAGATAGAGTAAGTTAGTTTTAATTGCTAGGATTGTATAGACCATCCTCTGAAAAATTGCTAGTTAATCATGCTATGTATGCTAATTTTGGATTATTGTCTAGTTTAAATAATATATTAATCTAAGTCACGTGTTGACTTACTTTAAATAAAATAAAAACACACAATAAATAATCTCTTCTGATTATAATATGTATGAAGTACTCATAGACAGTATACATATCAAAAATCTACTTTGTCCATGGAACTCTGAGATGGGACTCGAACACTTTGTCTATGGCACTCTGGAATAAGATTCGAACCCACGACCTTTTGCAATCCGGGCGACTGCTCTGACCACTTAGCTACTCGGGACCTAGCATAACTGACAAATCCTTCAAGCGCAACATGCACTTTTTCGCTACTACAGAGCGTACTTTCATCAATGTCAGGCAATCCACCCAAACAGGCGAAAGCAATATTTGATCAATTTTTCATTTACAATGCTATACTGAAGAATATTCTTAATGAAAATATAATAATATTATGCATCATACATTTGGAACAAAAAAAAAAGGATACATTTGAGGGTAGGCCTGCCTGAGTGCATCGATGTCGTCATGTAGCGGGTAACACGCGTTGTAGTCGCGGATTAGAAGTCGCTCAGACAATCCGTCCATTATCAACGAGAGGTACTCTTCTATATGTGCCGCCAGGTTGCCTCTAATTATTATAATCATACACGTATACAAATGGTAATGGTAATCAATGTCGCTATATCTGTGGTCCCAGGTTCGATTCGGTCGCAGATACTCCATAATATCTTTAGCTTTCAACTACATGTCATGGAATCTGAGCAATGTATATGACGTTGGAATGTACTAACTAATTTGCCCAAGTATGATTGGGCAAGGTCACATCATGAGAAGTCAAAAGTGAGAATTCTTATATCTTATAATCATTCATCATCCGAGAAAGATCCAAGGCAAGCAAAGTGTAGGCAGGACGAAAGTGTCATGACTTAATAATTTTCACTCGGAAAGAGCACTCAAGTGAAAGGTTGAAATTGCCATAACCATTTCCCAAACTGCATTAGCAGATGGCCCCACATTATTAACTTATTTGCCCAATTTGGGACGGCCTACGGCACATATGTATAACTAGTGGCCGCCAACGACTTCGTCCGCGTTTTCCATTATTTCTTCGCTCCTAATAGTTGCAGCGTGATGTTATATAGCCTAAAAATATTTTTTCAATTCGAACCAGTAGTTCCTGAGATTAGCGCGTTCAAACAAACAAACAAACTCTTCAGCTTTATAATATTAGTATAGATTATTTAAAACGGATGTAGACAGTAACCGAATATAAATACATTTTTTTTATCCTTTACCTCAATTTAACAAGAAATAGCGTAGATAATAGACATTTAAGTTGATTAGTGGGAACTCGTTACGTCATTTTGTAGAAAATGTACCATAGTGTGACGTCATGTGACATTTTAACTCAATGTATCGCCGTAATTTAATGATTACGAAAAAAATAAAAAATTAATGTTTAATATTTTTCAACAATCTACTTGACAGAAAAACATACAAAAATTAGTTGTCATCCCTACTGTGAATTCTCTAATATAAACCTGTTTAATTGCTCTCTTAGTAGCTTTAAGTCTCAAATATTTACTAAAATAGTATAGTAAGCAACTAATACTCCTTTAAATTGGTATTTTATTTTAGTTTTAACTGTGATTCTTAAAGTCAAATACATTTTTTTTTATTACACTTAGTTAAGTTAGGGGTCATTCATAAATTACGTCACACATTAAGGGGGAAGGAGGAGGTCGACGAAGTGTGTCAAGCGGGTGGGAGGGTCCTAAATTTCGTGACGTCACATTCAAAATCTGTTATAATCTAAGTGTTAAAACACGAACTTTAAACTATTACTTTACAAAAACCTTGCAAAATATGTGACATCACTAGGAGGGGGCGAGTCTTACAAATGTGACCAGCTGTGACTAGGACGGAGGGACCGGCAAAAAAATCATGAAAATCGTTTGACGTAATTTATGGATGACGCCTTAATTGTTGAGCAAACAATGTCTCATAACTGGTGTTCGTCAAACAACAGTTATTTATTTGATGTCTACCAAAAAGAAAAAATTGTGGACACTGTCTAATAAATACTCAGAAACGTCATCTACAGCCCAATTGCGGTGGATACTCACTCGCCACTGAAGATAGCGTTCTTGTGTACGGCGAGCGCCTCCCTGAACACGTCTATGAGGTCCGCGCGCGCCGCGTCTATGCCCCCCTCCACCTGCGCGTACTCCGCGCTGCTGGGGTCACCCACTTCCTCCAACTTCTCGTACAGAAGTGGTACACCGTACTCGTACAATTGTACTATACTGAAAATAACACCTCGTCAACTTTGTGTGCCAAATTTATCTAAAAAGTATTTAATTCAAAGGTTTAAGGTATTTTTTCCCAAAATTTTGCCCGCGCAAATTATAACCTAACAATCTAATCTCACAATATTTAATTAGATTAGGTTCTTTACAAAAATCGACTATCTAAAATACCCAAAAAGCAACAGTAGTATTTTCCAAAAAAATAAATATCAATACAGCAAATATTGGTCATTCAGTATGATTCAATTTATTAAGAGCATTATTTCAATAAGCACATCATAACAGTTCATAGATATGTTTTACACTAAAGTAGTTTTGTACCGTGACTACCTCAAATAGTTACAGGTAACACACATAAAACTCACCTATTAATAAAATTAGTCTTCTTAAATATCTTAACACTACCCGGGTATAGCTCCGCGAATATCCTTAGGGTCATTGCTGTATCCAGCATGTGGATAACTAGATCCTTGAGACAACTAAACGTGATCTTCTCTGGGCATTTCGTATCTGGGGGCCTCCGGATCTCACTGAACCCTTTAAAAGTTTCAGGGAGATTTGGGGGTTCGTCGCTGTCATAATCTTTGTTTACTTGAACAATTATATATTTAAAAGCCTGAAAGCAGGTAAGGTAAGTTGGAATAAAGTTTGTTATGTAGGTGAGTCAATATCCGAACCAGCAAAGAGATTGTAAAGATACCTTCTACTATCAAAATCATTCATAAACCTAACCATAATACTAAGACCTTTCATATCAGTAGAATTTTATTGATAAATTGTGAAAACAAAAATTACTCAATCTCATTCTACCCTGAGTGAACTGATGACACTGATGGCTACTTCAGTATGCAGTGCAGCATCAAACATTAGTGAAAAAAAAATAACAAGTCAGTGTATTTTCACACCACAAGTAGATGAAAACAGAGGATGCCATACCAGGTTTCAGCCCCAGTAAAAAAAAAAAACTTAGATCCGGGCCCGTAACTAAGGTAGTTGCAGCCATTCCGCATGATATCTGAGTGTTTCCATTGAATTTCATTAAATGTGCATAGACAATACAAATTTTGCAAATGTCTTATCTTGATACGATAGTGAACATAGCGAAAAAGGTTAAATCTTGATCAGATTGATTGGGCAATGTGTGTTTTTACTTCAGATTGAAACGGATCACACATTATCCTGATAATTCGATTTTTATCATCCAGATTGTTATTGCTTTACCAACCTCTTTCACGAACGCGATAGCCGCGGCCGCATCCGCCTCATACTTGGGCTGTATGGTGAACACGCTCGCTAGCAGGCGACCGACGTGCCGACCATTGTCCACGCCGTACACCAAACAGATGTCCCATATTATAGGGATAGTGAATACAAAGTTGTTGTAAATCACATCAGCCATAAATTCTTTACTCATCCATTCTGACTACAGACAAATTCAAATACAATCGGTTACAAATTATGCAGAATAAAATAATAGTATCTGCTAATTCATATACAATTAATAATTTGGCGAACTCCGTGGCAGAGTGACTTGTATGCTGGTTTCAAGGTGCCATCTCTGAGGTCCGAGTTCGATACCCAATTGGGTCTGCACGTTGTAGTATTTTCATTGTTTCAGATTGCCTTAAATTAAATGCTTTAGCTGCTTAATTTGGACTGTGAGATTGCTCAGAGTTTGATGTTGTCTAATATTTATTTATTATAAATTTTATAACATTTATACTGAAGTCAGAAAATGCTAGTCTAATTTGTATAGATTTACCTTGCTCTCTTTATTGGTTATCAATCTGCTAAATACTACAAGTACTAGCCTCCTTATTTCCATATATATTTTTTGCACTTCTCTGCTTTCATGGGGAGGAACGTAAGGAGGATCCGCTTCTTGGAGGAAGGACACTAACATATCCATACAGTGGGGATGATACAGTACTGTACTCCAAAATCTGCAAAAAGTTAACAAAAAAATAAATCAAATTATGTCATTGGATTTGCAGACAAACATTCATTGTGGTTTTTCTTTAAAAAAAAAAATTGAAAAAAGAAAAATCTTCAGATTGCATTATTTTTCAGTAATGTTACTTTAAATTAATGTCAATTTTAATGGACATTTGTGAAATATTATAAATGTGAAAGTTTGTGGGGATAATGTTTGTATTTCATGCAAAAACTACTGAATGGATTTTGATGAAATTAAATTTATATTCTCCTTTTTATTCAACTAAACAGTTCGCTAGGGACTGTGCTGGCTGAAAGCTAGTTATCTTACATTTTGATGGAATATCTCAATGGTTTGAGCAGTCGCGCGGTTAGTTAAATATTATAAATTCTAACACAATCCTTAGCATCTTGGACTGATAATTTTTTAAACATATTCTAATATTACAAATAGTTCATAATATCATAGGTAACATAGGTTCTAACTACTAATAGAACGAAAATAATGATAATCAATATCTGACTTATGATGCCGCAATGTGAGGAGCCACTTGAGATTAGCCAGATATGTCTCTGCCTTTATCTTCCATGCCTCAATAGCTCCCAAAACAACAGTGCTCCCTAATGGAGGTCTTTCATATATGGTAAGCTGCCTTTTCTCTGCCCAGTAAGAATCCTAGAAAAAAAAATTTATGAAGATTTTTAAGTTCATCATCAGCTCTTTTACGTCCCCACTGCAGGCGCTCAGGCCTTCCTTATGGATGGTTAAGGAGGATGGGCCATGACCAACTATGCTGACCCAATGCGGATTGGAGAGTATTAACGGGTATTAACGGGCCGCACCGCTTATCCACTACGCCGCTAGGAAAGGTATGTATTCCAGACTAAAAAAACATATTTCAATTTAGATTCTTAATTATAATCTTAAGTGTTTCTCAAAAACAGCATTTCCCAACATGTGGTTGGGACCCCTGAAGGTCCATGAACTACACACAGGTGGAATTACAATTCAATAGTGTCATTAAATAAAATATTTTATTTAAGTTTATTATCACGCAGTTGCATATAGCAGCACCAAAGTCTATATTAAGAGTTTTAAATGAAAAGGCTACATTTAGAAAAAAATTCGGACCAACTTTTGTTACACAAATAAGTGGGCTGTTTATACAGGGTTTCTTGATATCATGCTTGATTTAAATTAGATCTGTGGCTTACAAAAGGGTAAGGAATGTTGCTTTAAAATGAACCATTGTGTGTACAGCACATATATCATGTATATATGTATGGCAACACTGTATGTACTCACTAGGGCTTTGATTTGTTGAATAACTCCAACATTTTTAATGCACAATGTTAATTTTTCTACTGGCAACAGTTCAGGATTCTGAAAAAATTAATTTATATTGATTACTTATATTTTACAATGTGTATGTGTATCATTTTAATGTATTATTTTGTAACCAATATCAATAAGTAATCTTAGTCTATATAGTAATCAATAAATTAATTAAAAGAGATAAACTGTATTATATGTAAAATATTCTGCAACATAAAATTTAAATGTTATTAACATTTTCACATTACAATATTATTGTAACTATTTTTAATAAATGTATATTTGCTAGAGTTTTGAAACTTTGAATAAAATAGATAATAATTACCATTTACATAATTTAACAATACAAACATAATTTCAAATATTTTTACTTATAATTGTTAGAAAATGATTTCAAATTGGCTGTATCAGATACAGTCGAAATGAAGTAGCTGGAGTATTTGAATTTGTGTGCCATGTTGGCACAAAATGATAGAGAAATATTTATTAGATATAAAGCCTAGGTCACTGGTCAATATGCTTTAAAGCTTTTCTTTAATTTTGCATGGACACATCAGAACGAGATCTCAAGCTTGAGCCAATTTTATGGTTTACAAAATTCGTTAAATAAACGTAAAATATTTTAAGCAGCGTGATAAAAAATATTAAATGTGTTGATAACCAGTTAAAGCATCTACAAGTCTATAATTATACCACATGCAACTGCATGTGGTATATAAATACAACTGTATTTAACCCTATATCTGATAATTCAATACAATACAAAATAATGATTGATCTTACCGAAAATTCATCGGTAATAGAAGACATATTTATAAAAAGTGCAGTAATAAGTACTCCTCGTTCTGGTTCACAAAAATAGACACTCTACATTAGAAGGAATCAATCACATTAATAATCAGATCTCGATGAAATAACTAAAATCCATAAAAACTCCATTCACAAATTATGTATATACCTAGTTATATTTGGAAAATTCTATTTGGAAAATATGTTCTTGACATTGACATAAAGGCATTTTTATTATGGAGCCGGTCGATCATCGCCATCTTTTATTCATTGCATTTTCATTTTACATGTAAAAATTAATTTATTTACTTGACATTGGCAGAATTGTGCGAAATGCGCAGATAAGCCATTAATTAAAAAAGAAGAAGAAGAATTAATAGGTATGTCAAAAGAGAACTTTTTTTGTATGGAGTTCAGTCTTCTCTGTGGTACTTTATTCAAATTATCTCTAACCAAGCATAAAATACATATTAATCGATAGAAGGTAAATAAACCTTACACATGATCATTTTATTTTATTTTAGGCGCCGCCAAAGTGTTTATTTTCTGATTTGAACTTCATTTGGTGGATATTTATAATTTTTGTAGCAACACATAAGTGTATTCAGAAAATCTATGGCAACCCCATACCTAAGTTACGTTCCAATTCATGCTGTGAATTAATCTATCCGGACAATGTGGAATCATTATTTTTATTTGCTATTAATTATTGATATTTAAGATATCTAAATGTCAAATACAGAGATATTTAAACCAATTAGAAGCTCGTCGACGCAGATAAGGCCCGCTTTGAGTGTATTCGGTGCGTGCGTATTATAATAAATACATAGTTAATCAGTGCCAGTTCTTTTGACCAGTAACTCCTACTCTGTAGATGCTGGCTTTTGCTTCTTTCATTATAAAAATGCAGAGGCGGTAAGTTAAGCAGGGCATTCAGAGCGGCTCCAGTTGCTACGAGGCATGCTGTTCTTTACAAGATATTCAGTATTCAGTTTGTTAATTAATGTTGCTTGTGTGGCTTTTTTCCACTAGACGACGCTGGCATATGTCACCGGTGGCCTTACAATGGCAGTGTAAAGCCATCGGTGACATATACCATAAAATTCCATGGAGTACGATATAACGGTCCCATTTAAGCTAAGCGTTTTAAGGTTTTCCAACTTTCGCTTCCTGGTAAAAGAGACTATCGTTGTTTTATTCGGATTTACCGATAGATAATTTAATAACTTTAAACCATGCCGCTAATTCCTGGGTAGTTTCGACTAGGATCGGCTTCCACCATCTCTTTTAATTCATAGTTATTAACCTGTGTGGGCTGTCTTCCTCGTGGCTCGTTCTTTAAGTCGAAATTTCCATTACGCACGGTACATTCTTTAGCAGACACCTCTCAAAACGCAACATTGTTTCTGCCACGTTTCTTCCGCGTCGGAACTCGTATTCAAGAATTACTCGAATTTTCGCACTATCCATCTTTCTTATCTAAGTTGAATAACAAAAACAATTGAAAGTCGATATTCATATGTTTCACATTTTTTATAAGAAAAACATCATAGAAACTATGTAAAAAAAGTTTCTTACGAAAACCTCAAACCATGAAGATTCTATGTCAATTCAAGGAACCTATTACAATAAAACGGCAATTTCATACTTTAACCCCTAATATTTTTAGAAATATTCTAGTATATCAAATATTATGTATATAAAATAAAAAATATAAAAAGTCTACAAACTTATTTGTTATCCTTTGTTTCTATCTTATTGACGGGCGCAATTTTAGTACCCAATAAAGCAAAACAACATCTTTTTTAATATAAAAGTTATGTAGTACCCACTTATATATTGTTTTATTACAGTATAGAATGTATAAGTATATTTAGTTACATACAAATTAAATATTATTGTGCTCAAGAGATCAAACATAGATGCTTATTTTGGAACATTACCTTGCTTATTAAAGAGAATGGTTTTTTAATGTTTACTAACAAAAAAGACTGGTTATTATTTTTTATGTTTACCTACTAGCGCCATTGCAGCGCAAAGACAATAATCTAAACTAAAACCATATGGAGTATTTAAATGATTATAAAAATAAATATGGAAATAAATTTTACACCCTTGTGTAGTTTTTGATTTTAATACGATTTAAAAAGAATTTTTATCTTTCTTGTAACTATGATTTTAGCATGAAATCACTAATCAAACAATCATCTTGGATATATAGGAAGAAAAAAAGGTTGTGAGAGATTGGTATTTAAAATAAAAATATGTTTAACTAAACCATAATAATTAACCAGTTACATATGAACTGAACAGTTTATTTATAACACTTCATATATATTCAATAAAAGATATTCGTGTCGGTCGGTGCTCGGTCGATAATATCCGGATATTTTCTGTAGCCATCCATTCTGAAACAGTCCCATTATCACCATATTAAAAATGAAATAATAATTTCCACATTAACTAACGTAATTGTTATATTCTGCAGTTTATAAATAATCATAATTAAGAATGATTTTAACAGACGAACATTTATGATTTAACAGCGAATTAAAATTATCAGGCATAGACATTGAACTGCGTCAATAGTAAAGTATCTTTTATCAAAAAATTATTTAAACACAAACAAACTTTTAACTAACATAAGTTATTACTCCTAAAATAAACATAGAATCCGTTAGAATATTATTTTAAAATAGTCTTTAACATTTTGTTATTTCTTGTGACTCTGATCTTGCGCCGACATGTACATAATATATAATTACTTCATAATTGACTCCATTCATTTCGTACCCTAAGCCTGGGACATTTCAAAAGAACACGAAGGTCAACAAACATTTTGTAATTTACCGCGTATTAGGCTGTATTGATTAGATCTATTTTTATTTTATATTATAACATAAAAACACAACAACCAATCGACTTTTTTGTTGTTTCTGTCACTGTCACATCAAAAATGTCAAAAACAATTTGAACGTTAGAGTACATATTTATTTTCTTTGCTCTGTTAAAAATACTTTTACTCTCAAGTGTAGATTATAGATTTCTTGAGTGTGGATATATATGCAATAGAATGTGCACCTATACGAGTTCCAGTAAACCAAAACTTGCAACAAGACTAACATGAATAAGCACGGCTCTTCTAATAAAGTCAAAAAAACATTGGTCAGGAACTTTGAACAGAAAAAGGTTTCAGGACATAAACAACTTGCAAAATTGGACATGGGTTGCTCGTCCAACTTATCTCCTGCACAATCTAGTTCCAAGCGACAGACCGGACTTAGCCAGCCATCATTATGCTCCAGTGAGGCATTTGCTCATTATATATCAGATATTAAACGGACAACACCAAGTCCAAACATAGATGAAGAATTGAAACTTGATAAATGTCAATTAGAAGCGAAAGTAAGTAAAAATGTATTTAAAAAAAAAAACTTATTGCAACCATCAAAAACAACATGGTATATACATACACATTCGAGTTTAAATGAGTGTTTAAAAGTAGTATTGATATTGCATAATTTAATGAAGTTTGTAATAAATTTGATAAGAAGATAGAGAAAAATTCATTACTTACTAAATATCTTATATACTATTTCAGGTTACAAAAAAATTGAACTTCCACTTCAATGATAGAATATACAAGAATCTAATCGAATTGAATGCTAGGGTGGATGAAACAAAGATCAAAAAAGACAAGAGACCATCTAGTGCTAATATAAAAAGAGATTTGGAACCGAATATAGAAGACTTTTGTTACGATGAGAAAGAATATGATATGGTTCCTACAGTGCCAATAATACAAGTAAAATTCAAGCCTGTTAAGAAAGTTGATGATGGACAGTTACATAAATTAGTTGCATCATTTGAAGATTTATGACTACAAATAAAAAATATCACCTTTAATTTTTTATTTTAATTTAAAGCTGCGAACTAAAAACTGAACACAAGAATCATTTTTATAGACTTGTATACAGCCTATTATTTTGTTTTATTTGCCATGCTCCTTTATTTTTTCTTAGTGTTTTTGCTTATCACATACAATGCCTTTTGCATGAGAATAATGACTCATTTATGACTTATCTACTAAAGAATAAGAGTTAAAGTAGGTATTTGTGAATTTGTAAGTGGACCTTTATTTGATAATTATTAACAAATTATTCTAAAACAACTTTCTAATGTAGATTAATATATGTATAAAGGCACTAATTACGTTTAAATTGACTATGGGGTTACTATTGTTAAAGATACTGTAATTATTAAATTAAGTGGCAACAAATCAAAGTTCATGTTACTCAGAGTAGATAAGCATAGTAGATAAGTAGTCTTTATTTAATTCTCAGTTTTTGCGATATCACTTCACACGCACATCGGCGGCGCTACCGAACAGTGCCGCGCCGACTCGCTGGCTCTGTCAGAAAGAGACGTAGCTTCATCTCCTCTTTCACTTGCATTTTGCCAATAATTTTGTTTCATTCAGAATTCAGTCAATTTCTGACATTCGTACGTGTTGGTTGTGGTTACGGTTAAGTGAATTAAAATTAATACCTTCTTTACACAGATATTCTTATTGAATTGCAATAAAATAGTAAACAAAGGCGAAATACAATGGCTGAAACGGAAATAATATCCAGTAGTGACAATAATGAGCAATTCTTTGAAGGTGTTGAAAAGTTAATTGAAATTTGGTTTACGCCGGCCAAAAATGCAGATTTAAGAAAAATCACACGGTGAGTTAAGCAATCCCATCATATCTCAATTTAATTTAATACATGGATAGGTTACCGGCTTTGATCGCTTTATATAACCTTAAAGGATTCTTGTGAGGAATTTGTGTATCAAATATGAGTACAAGGCAAGTTCATTTGTTAGAATTTTGCATTCTATTATTTTTCTTATCAATATAATTTGTGATAACAGCCGTCTGATGTTTTTTCTAATCTAATGGAATGTTCTGGATCAGCTGTTTGACTATTTTAAAAATGTTTCGCATTGGCGGCGTGCTGTGGTTGGCTTGACAGCAACCGCGGCCTGCCCACGCGGCTTCCGCGTGATTCGAATTTGTTTGATATTTATTAACTGAAGAAAAAATTGCCAAAAGAATCAGGATCGCGTAGGTACGAAGGGTTCAGTACCATTATCTGTACAAAACGCAAAAAATATTACGTTGGTTCTATGCGAGTCCCCCTTAAATATTTATTTTATTCTTTTTTAGTATTTGTTTCATGAGGTACAGTTTTTGTGACAAACTGACAAATAGTGCAGTTTTAGTAACAGAGTCCCGTTTTTACCCTTTGGGTATAGGCATCCTAAAAATCACATTATATGGCTTTGAAGAAAATAAAATCTGGCCAAGCACGAGTCTGACTTGCCCATGAAGGGTTCCATACCATTATCTATGAAAAACGAAAAAAAATAAAGTGATTGCTACAGAATAATGCATTGTAATTGCTATGAATATATATATAATTACAAAAACATATTAACAGGTAATCTATCATCACTCACTGATTCTCTTTATTTCAGAAAACAATGGGAAAATGTTCTCAAGATTGTCCGCTGTGAAATAATTTCTTTTACACAGAGCGAGCAAGTTGATGCCTACGTGCTCAGGTATGTTTAAAATATTAAATATTTTACAAATTATTTATTTTAATTAGAAATTTTATTTCATATACAAACCAGAAAGACCTACATATTGTTGAATTAGTTATTTACATAATTGCTGCCATTTACATTATTTTCTCAATATTATAAACTCAAAATGAGGTACACGGCACAAACCCTAAAAATAGCTTTAATGTTAATGACCATGACAATTTAAAACAACATTATATACTCTTAAAAGTCTTTAGAAAATTGTATATTTAGGTAGATTATATTTGAGATCTATAAAAATTAATATTGCTTAAATGAAAGTTTTGGAAAGATAATTTCAAAAGGCATGATGAGCACTCATCAATGTTCTGCCTTGGTTTCAATTAACTTGGTTTATACAGTTTGCATTCTTCCATATCAGATGTATGAAAGAATGATCACAGATATGATCTCATATAATTTTTGAGTCTGTCTTTGATTCAGCCTTTCTTTGTCACCATCCTATACATTTTTGGTCATAACTTTAATATGTTATTGATTTATTTTAATTCTGTAGAGAATATAGTTGCCATTTATGCTGCTTTCCCAGGAAATGTCCTGGATAATGTTTAAGTAGCGTCCTAGGTATTTAAGGTGCACTGAAAAGGTCAAGCATTTTAAAATTCACGAGCCATTTCCGCATTTCGAATCACGACGATACACGATTGTTTGCTCGGTACTGTGCGGTAGGATTTAGTTTTTTTTTACCCAACTGTGGAGGGTAATGTTTTTATCAGCCTATGTATGTTTTTGGTAGTTAAAATTTAAAACGAAGTTTTTTTTAATCGCTATCTTTAACATCACGCCAGTTATTTTTTTTTAAATTTCATTTAAGCTCGCGTCCTCGCTCGATTTAAACTGAATTTTCCTCGCTTTTAACCTTTAACACCATAACAAACAGCCTTAAAACCTAGTTTTAGGAAGAAATTACAAGAATTTTAATATATTAAAAATCGCCCAATCAAGGCGCTTTAAAAACCCAGGACGTTGCTTAAAAAATATTCAGAACATCCCCAGGACACAAAAAAATCAGAACATGTGTGAAAACAGGACTGTTGGCAACCATAGATTGCTACGTGCGACCTGTACATGTGCACTCGGGAGCTTATTTTAAGTTGACGCAAGATAAATTTACAAATAAATATACGAGCATATGCATGCACGTATGCAAACGGCTTATCCTGAAAACAACAATCTTAACTTCAGATTACTCTCTGGGAAGGTAGAGAGAACCCCGCACCGCAGTCTTACACGGTGTAAAACTGCCGTGTGCATGTAAATTCTACACACGTCATACTTTACAAAAGCAAATAAAACAAAAGTACTGTATGTGCATATCGTCAGGGTAAAATGAAGGATACTAAATGTGCCTTAGATAATAAATTACTAATTATGTAGCAAGGGCGAGTTATTAAATTAGTATTGTAATAAAATGGAGCAATTGAACGACCATTTTATCTGGGATCACAGAGCAAATAGATAAATCAAAGTTAATGAAACTGAATGTTCTAGAAGCCACAGAAAAGAATAATAATTTTAATGATTCAATGATTTGATCATAAAAATATTGACGCATTTTTCAATTCTACAAAATATGATAAGTCAATGAATACATTCATATAAAATTGAAGTGTAAAATCGGTAGTGGGTATTGATTTAGCTGTGAATTTAGTTTGAATATCTATACGAATATTATATAAAGGAAAGATTTGATTCTTTATCTTTTTGCATCGAATAGGCTCTGAAGAATTATTGTAGTGTACTGCACCAATTTTAAAAATTAATTTACCTAAGGGAAGCTACATTATACGCGGTTAGTACAGTATAGTTTTCGAAATATTATTCTCTAGTATTCCTAAATCCTAGAAATCTGGGAAAAATCTCAATGGACGTTAGGGCAATTAATTAGAAAAAAAAATCACGGGCATAGCTACTTGGGTTGGTACGAAGAGATATTGCTCAATGTTTTAAATGAAGCACAGCAAACCAAGCACCCTAAACAATAGAATTCCTTTCTTAAACCCATAAACGATAACAAAGGCGTGTTGCCTTGAATTAGGAAGTAGCCTATACAAACGTACCTATCTATGTCGTAAAATGTAACTTAGGTAAGGGTTTCTTACTACCTTGTTGGCTAGCATAAAACACTGTGTGACATTGTGATGGTAGTGATCCTGGTTTAATTAAGAAGTATTTCCTGAAGGTCTATTTTGAAGTATATATTGGCATGTTTGAAACTTATAAATACCTAGACTAAGAACAATTATTTGTAAATCACACAAAAAATTGTCTTTTATGGGCATCAAACCACAACACTGGCGACCTATCCGTGGGCCATGCAACTGGCGACAACTAAACCAGTCGACCAAAAATCGAAGGAAAAAGATTATTTCATTTAGAGTTTTGAAGCATTTTTAAGTTCTTGTTATGTAACTCTTATCTAGCCTCTATTCTCTCTCTGTCTAAGGGATAGATTTCTTCACTTTAATCGTGTTATCTTGCGTTGCTCCAACTCATTATATAATTTAGATTGATAGATTGGCGTTCTTCTCAATAGAATGATGTTCCATTTCATACTCGTCGCATCAACCAATTGATTTTTGACCCCATTGACGACAGGCTTCATCAAGAAGTCATTTCAGACCAATAGTTTTATTGTTTTTATTTATGCAATAAACAAAGCTAACTCAGTTTATTTCATCGATAACTCCTAGGATATCTTTAACGATGTATTTTCTAATCATGTAGTGACTTAAATAAGTGCAGGAATACTAACGAGACATACTTAACCCAGAGAACTGTGAATATCAGGTTATCGGAAGTTCACATAATCAACAGACGTAGTAAACTACAACTGAAGACCCTGATAACGATATGACGACACTTGTTACTAAGTGCCGCTTCATTGTCAGAACATCTACGAGAACTCATCGTAACGGATTTACGTCAGGTCATAGATATTTGTATTATCTGCTCTGTTAAGAAACCAAGATCACCAATTTATAACCTTTGACATTACGATACAATATCGTGTAGTGATTTAATGTTAGATTTATCATTTTGGCCTTTCGAAGTTTCGCCGCGTTATGACCCATGTACTAACATTGATATCTCGTTATTTATAATTAAAGTTTAATTGCACAGTTTGTAGAATATCAGTATCATTCACATTATGAGAAGGCATTCTATTATTGGACTCCGTATGCTTAAAAGACTTTTTATAGAAAATAATCAGCTTCTATATTTGTGGATAACGATAACACAAAAATAAAAATGCAACAAGGAGCATACAAAGTTACATTCCATTCCCAATACGTTTCGACTTGGATTCTGAAGCGAATAATTAGCGAAGTGATCGTAATTTTGCAAGAGTTACCGTCGGTAGCTGAATGATTAACAACTTGCGCTATTCTTTTTGACCCAGGAAAATTGGGAACAATGCGACCTCACATAGCCAGCCTCTGGTGCACCGAGTCTGGCACAACTTGCGCTACGTCCTCCCCATTCGAATATTCTTGTGTGAAGGTCTTCAGATGGTTGTTCGTGTAATTTAAGATTAGAGAACACCGCGAAGACTTATTTCTTGGTGTATCAAGACCTTAAGACGAATTTTATGCGTATAATTAATAGTAATGAGATCGTAGCGAAAATATGAAGGAAATTCTTTATTGAAAGTTTACCGATCGTCAAACGAAAGTAAATTGGTCCGGAGCCATTATGGAAAGAAAATTGTCATATTCATTTGTAATATATTGTATTGTATCACAAAATTATAAAGTAAAAGATGCTACAGAACGTCATGATAAAGATAGCAGAAAAAAGGCAAGAGCGTTGAGAAAGCGGAATGTCTCTCTTAAAAAGTAAAAGTAAATTCCTTTTCTATTTGTCTTCAACGTAAATACTTTATTTATTTTTGCGGTAGTACAAAGAGGTGTCACCGGGATTACGTATTCTGCATGCAAAACATCGGCGACGTGAGCGCGAGTCCCGTCGCTCATGACGTGACGTCACGTTCCCGGCAAATCGCCAAATTGTGATGATAGTGAAACCCCAGCCCAGCCACGCTATTGGTATACTACATGTACAATGTCAATGCCGTCTCTTAACCGATGACGTCTGGTATGGACATGATGTGAACTAAAATATCTCCAGGCTATGTGTGTGTTATGTAAACTTCATACATTGAAAGTTTCCTCAAGTCATTTTATGTTTTGTATTAATTCCCAGCTAAATTTGCTAATCTGTAAGAAAATCAGGGACGAACGCTGAGAGTTTCAATCAAAGAAAACATTTATTGCTACCTTTTGAAGTATGTTTTAATATCAACCTCTAACCTGTGACAGTGTTGTGCTCGAAGTAGCGTTCGACGCTGCTTTTACAGAATAGCAGCTTTGTAGCACTGGTAATTTATTCTTAGATACCTAAGACAATTCGCCACAAGTTTTCTCATTTCCTCTCCAATAGAGAAGACCGCATTAAAATCCGCTGCGTCTGTGGTTTAAGATGACTTGGAAGCCTATCATTAGGCTTGTTAAATGACAGAATAGTAGTCGGGACGGCTCATTAACCTATGTAGTGGTACAGAACTGTAAACAAACATAATGATCAGATGTTGTTGGTCTGCTAATACACTTCTATAAATATACTCACGTGAAACTCGACTTACGTAGTATGCCTTTTCCCAAGTTAGCAAATCAATTAATCACCTCGTTACGTGTCAGCATCATACTGAACCTGCTGTAAATTTAGGGATCCGCTATTCTCTTTAGACTGCAATAAAGTGTGGAATGGAGTAAAATATACCTACTCTGTGAACAAATATGAATGAATTAAAACTCTGAAAAGAAAGCGCTGATTCTGGGACCGCTTTGATTTCCAATGTTTCTTTCCTTTGATTTCCAATGACAATCTTATATGAACAACATTAAAACAAAGTTATCAGCAACATAATTTTTGGACATTACATTATAAAAATA